AGTGATAGAGTGACTGCTTAGCATGGGTAAGGGTGGGAGAGGGGAGAGAAGTAGAGGAGGGGAGGGAAGGAAGGAGAGGAGAGGAAAGAGGAATGGAGGGAAAGGGAGGGGAGAGAAAGCTAGAGGAAGACAGGGAAAGGGAGGAGAGGGGAGAGGAGAGGGAGGATAGTTTAATCAGTAGGTTTGGGTGTGAGGTGAGAAATTCTGCATTTCTAACAATCTGCTAGCGGATGCTGATCTTTTGGAAGGGCTGACTTTTCCTACTCAAGTAGGGAAAAGCTGGCACACTGATCGAATTCTTTGTCTGGAAATGAGATGTGTAAGCCAGAAGTTGAAGCCCAGGTTCTTTCATTCAGTCTGATGTTACATAATTATGCAAATAGAAAACTAATTAACTAAGTGAACTATTATCTACTTGCATAAGATACACATCTGGACCAGGTGATGTACTGGGTCTCTTCAGTACCATAAAATGTGAAGATTTTCAGATAACCTTCACTTTAATTGAGCATTTTCTTTTAGATTTCCCTTCATAAACAGTGAACATCAGAAGGTTTTATTGCCCACTATCACTCCAGAATCTCCCTGTTTAGCTGCATTCTTTGAGTCAAGACACAATTATTTCTGTTTAATGTCCACTTCTCACTCTTCCTCCATAATTCTTACAACACTTTTCAGATCTGTATGCTCCTGTAAGGAACGTTTTCATGTGTAGTTGTCTGTGGGATCATGTGTTTCCCAAATGAAATGCAGCTCCCACTAGTTCCCATCATTCAGAGGGGCTCTAATATCTTAAATAGAGAGGGTCCTCTGATTAGAACCATGCTCATCAAATGCACTCCTGCCAATGGGTCAAGGACTGGCAATACTTTCAAATTGCAGTTAGTGGGAGAAAAAAAAATCCCTCTTCTCTACCCTGAAGAGAATTTTAATCTGATGCCTAGTCCTTATTCCCAACACAAACATCTTCATTAGAACTTCATTAAGTCGCCTAGACTACTCAGCTGCAGCCGCTGTTGCAGCCTCCAGCCTTCCCATTCCACAGCACCCCAGCACAGCCTCGCCAGGGCAAAGCTCCTAATTTTCAGCCAAGCACACGCCACTTCCAGCTAAAAGCGTGCACTGGCCCTTATTCAACACCTTCACGCTACGAGATCAGCCTGTCAGGTACTCAGACTGTTACTCCTGCCCCCTCACCAAATGCTTCCTGTGATTCCCGTGTCTGTGACTCTGTTTATACATTTTTTCTACCTGGTATACCTTTCTGTACAATTCCACTCCTCTTTTTAAAGACTCATCGTATGTACCAATTCTTTTTTGAAGCATACCTGATTCCTCTACTAAGATTTGTCTACTACCTTGCTCTCAACTCTTTACTCAACACCTCCCATCTATATTATTTCCGCATATGCTTTGTTCTTGGCTCCTACTATATGAGTCTTGAAGATCTTTATTATGTCTTTTTTTTTTTAAGCTCTCACCATGCTTTTTTTTTTTTTTAATTTATTTTAATTTATTTTGCAATACAATTCAGTTCTACATATCGGTCACGGATTCCCTTGTTCTCCCCCCTCCCGTCCCCCTCACCTTCCCCCCAACGCCCCCCCCCCCCCATTCCCATCTCCTCCAGGGCAAAGCCTTCCCCACAGACTGAGGTCAACCTGGTAGACTCAGTCCAGGTAGGTCTAGTCCCCTCCTCCCAGGCCGAGCCAAACAATCCTGCATAGGCCCCAGGTTTCAAACAGCCAACTCATGCAATGAGCACAAGATCTGGTCCCACTGCCTGGATGCCTCCCAAACAGATCAAGCCAATCAACTGTCTCACCCATTCGGAGGGCCTGATCCAGTGTGGACCCCTCAGCCATTGGTTCATAGTTCATGTGTTTCCATTCATTTGGCTATTTGTCCCTGTGCTTTATCCAACCTTGGTCTCAACAATTCTCGCTCATATAAACCCTCCTCATTCTCGTTAATTGGACTCCCAGAGATCCACCCAGGGCCTAGTCATGGATCTCTGCATCCAGATCCCTCAGTAGTTGGATGAGGTTTCTAGCACAACAATTAGGGTGTTTGGCCATCCCATCACCAGAGTAGGTCAGTTCGGGCTGTCTCTCGACCATTGCCGGCAGTCTGTTGTGTGGATATCTTTGTGGATTTCTGTGGGCCTCTCTAGCACTTTGCTTCTTCCTGTTCTCATGTGGTCTTCATTTACCATGGTCTCCTATTCCTTGTTCTCCCTCTCTGTTGTTGATCCAGCTGGGATCTCCCGCTCCCCCAAGCTCTCTTTCCCTCGACCCTCGCCTTTTATTACCCCCACTCATGTCCAGGCTGTTCATGTAGATCTCATTCCATTTCTCTGTCATTGGGCGATCCCTGTGTCTTTCTTGGGGTCCTGTTTTCCGGGTAGCCTCCCTGGTGATGTGAGTAGCAGACAATTCATCCTTGTTTCATGTCTAGTATCCTGCTATGAGTGAGTACATACCATGTTTGTCTTTCTGAGTCTGGGTTACCTCACTCAGGATGATTTTTTCTAGATCCATCCATTTGTCTGCAAACCTCATGATGCCATTGTTTTTTTCTGCTGAGTAGTATTCCATTGTGTATATGTACCACATTTTGTTTATCCATTCTTCAGTTGAAGGGCATCTGGGTTGTTTCCATGTTCTGGCTATTACAAACAATGCTGATATGAACATAGCTGAACAAGTGCTCTTATGGTGTGGTTGAGCATTTCTTGGGTATATGCCCAAGAGTGGTATAGCTGGATCTTGGGGGAGATTGATTCCCAATTTTCTAAGAAAGCGCCATATTGATTTCCAAAGTGGTTGTACAAGCTTGCATTCCCACCAGCAGTGGAGGAGAGTTCCCCTAGCTCCACATCCTCTCCAGCATAAGGTGTCTTCAGTGTTTTTGATCTTAGCCATTCTGACAGGCGTAAGGTGGTATCTCAGAGTTGTTTTGATTTGCATTTCCCTGATGATTAGGGATGATGAGCAATTCCTTAAATGTCTTTCGGCCATTTGAGTTTCCTCTGTTGAGAATTCTCTGTTTAGTTCTATAGCCCATTTCTTAATTGGACTGTTGGGCATTTTGATGTCTAATTTCTTGAGTTCCTTATATATTCTGGATATCAGTCCTCTGTCAGATGTGGGGTTGGTGAAGATCTTTTCCCATTCTGTAGGCTGTGGAATAACCTCCTGTGTTCTATCAGACCACCATGGTCTAAAGTTGGATTTCAACAACAACAAAAACTACAGAAAACCTGCAATCTCATGGAAACTGAATAATACCCAACTGAATCACCAATGGGTTAAGGAAGAAATAAAGAAAGAAATTAAAGACTTCCTAGAGATCAATGAAAATGAAGACACCACATATCCAAATTTATGGGACACTATGAAAGCAGTACTAAGAGGGAAATTCATAGCACTAAATGCCCACATAAATAAGTTGGAGAAATCTCACACTAGAGACTTAACAGCATACCTGAAAGCTCTAGAACAAGAAGAAGCACAGTCTCCCAGGAAAAATAGACGCCAGGAAATTATCAAAGTGAGAGCTGAAATCAATAAAATAGAAACAAAGAGAACAATACAAAAAATTAATGAAACAAAGAGTTGGTTCTTTGAGAAAATCAACAAGATAGACAAGCCCTTATCCAAACTAACCAAAAGACAGAGAGAGAGCATCCAAATCAACAAAATCAGAAATGAAAAGGGGGACATAACAACAGACATTGAGGAAATCCAGAGAATCATCAGGTCATACTTCAAAAACCTCTATTCGACAAAACTGGAAAACCTAAAAGAAATGGATAACTTTCTGGATAGGTACCACATACCTAAGTTAAATCAAGACCAGATAAACTATTTAAATAGTCCAATAACCCCTAATGAAATAGAAACAGTCATTAAAAGTCTCCCAACCAAAAAAAGCCCAGGACCAGATGGTTTCAGCACAGAATTCTACCAGATCTTCAAAGAAGAGTTAATACCAATACTCTCTAAATTGTTCCACACAATAGAAACAGAAGGAACATTACCAAACTCCTTCTACGAGGCTACAATTACCCTAATTCCTAAACCAAACAAGGATACAACAAAGAAAGAGAACTACAGACCAATCTCCCTCATGAACATTGATGCAAAAATACTCAATAAAATACTGGCAAACAGACTCCAAGAACACATCAAAACAATTATCCACCATGATCAAGTAGGATTCATTCCAGGGATGCAAGGGTGGTTCAACATACGAAAGTCCGTCAATATAATACACCATATAAACAAACTCAAAGAAAAAAACCATATGATCATCTCACTGGATGCAGAAAAGGCATTTGACAAAATCACCATGCTTTTTCATGGAAGTCTCCAAATCTGTTGAAAAAATAAGTAAGCTTTAGGATTAACCTGTAACTCAGGATGCCTAGAAACTTCAGAAATCTAAAATTATTTATTATTTTAAAATTATCGTATTACTTTGTGTGTATGGGTGCTTTGCCAGGACGTATGTATGTGTACCACCTGTGTGCAGTGCCCACGGAAGTGAGAAGAGGGCATCAAGCCTGGATGGAACTACAGATGGTTGTGAGCTACCATGTGGACGACAGGAACCAAACCAGGGTTCTTTCTGCAAGAGCAGCAAGAGCTCTTGATCATTGACCCGTGTCTCCAGGCCTCACTACTTCCCTAATATTCATGATACTCCTTCATGCCAAGGGTTCATCGCTGGGAAAATCAAGGAGACGTGTTTTTAACCTCTAGGTTACATGTTCTTGTGCCACTTTTAAGACTTCTTTCTTTAAATACATATGCCCACAGCTCAATCTGCACTATTCAGATGGTATAGGTTAAACTAAAGTAATTATCATTTTCTGTTTATCCACATACTTCTCTGATACCTCTGTAGCATACAACACAACCTTATGACAGACAATGGTTCCATTCTGACTTACAGACATTCATTGTTAAACAAGAGTGTATCAACAAACTAAGAAACCAGGTTTTGCAATGGTAGTCTTTATATCCGTTTAGAGAGGCTTACATGTGACTTTCCTTATTGACCTGCATTCACAGTAAAAATAAAGAAACTCATTGTATGCCTATGGCTCCCGCAAGGGGAGCTGAAATTGCAAAACAGTGAAAAAGCATGTCTCACCTGATGGTAGAGATTGCTGCCCAAGATGTTCTGGGCCTTTGCTCGCTTTACCATCTACCTTATGTCACAGGTATTTATAATTCAACATGCAAACAAAGTCCAGAGCCAGGAGATCTAGTGCACGGGTCCCTGCTGCATAATACAGGATGATATCAAGGAAGGGGAACACCAATTAACGTTTCTTATTTTAACAGATACACATTTGTATTACCATTTACTAGAAACAACATAATTAGCAAAGGACATTTGTCACTTTATAGTTCTTCTTCCCTGAGTCGGCTCTCCTTCTTATACAAACTCAAGTTTGAAAAGTGAGTGCGCTTTAAAAAGGACAAATATTAATTAACTGTAGTGTGGGTGCAGCTAACAATATTCATGATGGAGGCTTGGGAAGCCCTTAGGGCTGGAAAGACGGGGATTAAGTGACAGGGTCCTGGTTCAACTTCTGTCTCTAAGTGTACTCCTTGAGTCAGGCCACATGCTCTTGGTCTACTTCTATAGAGATGTGAGGGTGGCCTTTACAGTCCACCCTCCAGCCACTCTTACGTGGTGCTGTGCTCGCTTGTCAAATGTCATTATGCAGAATGGCAACCTCTGTAAAACAACAAGAAGTATCCTAATCCTTAACACAAAGACTCCTACCTCAAGTAGTCAGGAAATCAGGGGACCTAATGTGGAATTATCTTAAAGTTAAAACACTCTAGTAAGCCTTAGGAAGATGGGAGATAACTCTGATTTTGTTTAGTCACGTTACTCTTTTATGCAGTGGTAAGGATGCCAGGTACCTATGGTTTCCCTCATCAATACTGCAGCAAAACGGATAATTTAGTGTGCTACAGTCACACATGTTCCCTATATGAGAAGGGGAAGGCTGAATGTCCACGAGACAGCAGGTGGAGGATTTGAGCCGGTTTTTCACCCCCCAGAAACATAAAGACAAGTATCAGACTGGAGAAAAGACAGATGAGCACTAGCCTGAGGTAGGAACAGCTACATGAGTTGGTGGCTTTAAGATAGCTTTAAATAGCGGATCTTGTTTTACATTCTCACCCTGAGAATAGAAACTGTAATCAGTTACCCATTTCCAAGGGTAATCAATTTTGAATCCAAATTAGCCTTACGTTCTTTTTTACTAAGCAATCTTGTATTAGTTCTCTTCCCAACGGCTGGAGAATTTAAGTCCAACAGAACTCAGCTGTGTGCCAGAAATCATTCAATGCAGAAAATATCCACCAAGAAATATTTTCACGGTCATGTCTTCTGTTTTCTGAAACGATATTCATAATCTGAGAATCAAACCACTTTTCCCTGAATGGGAGCCACCATAATTTTGTAGCAGGCCCCCGGGGTCTCGGTAGAAGGTCTTCTACAAGGCTGCCTATCATTACTTCTGACCCAGCCTACAAAGCACTCAGACAACCAGGTAGGCTGAGGAAAGGAGCATCTGATGGGGATTATTAATTAGCTCTGCGAGTATCTGAAGTATGTACTTTGGAAATTAACTAAGGACTTTCTTTTTCCATTTGGAATACTTACCACATCCCATTTAGTTCAATAAACAAATGAACAAATGCCAATAAAACCAATATAATCTACTTTTTGTGGAGATGATCTGCTTGCTACGGAAAGAAAGCAGGAAGGGAGGGGGAGGATGAAAGGCAGGAAGTGAGGGAGGGAGAAAGAAAAATCCGCTGGGGTGTGAAGCCTCAAAGGCCAGGCTCGCAGGGCATACAAGATAGACATGAAAATAGAAATCAGCCCTCTGGAATACCAACTTCATTATCTGTTGCAATTTCCAAGGCCCTTTGAAAAATATTGCTCCACAGTTCCTAGCTTTTTACATTCCTCGTTAAATATATCTGCAGACACATTTGTTTCTGGGCACCCGGCTACAGTGAGTCTCTGGCAAGCTGTGAAGAGTGTGTACACCGTGGGCTGAACCGACTCCTGACTCAGGTCATCATTGCTGACTCAGCCTCCGGCTCAGGATGGCAGTCAACCTCTGCCTGGTCTCATTTACCGAAGACGCTCGGCCCTTGGGAGGATATGTCTGGGGAAGGGTGGGCAGTCCGGAGCTGATGACCTTCTTGAGCTTATCCGGGGTTAGGGAAGCAGTGGGCTTTGGCAGTCCGTGCAGGCTGGTCGTGTTGGTGCCTCGTCCACAGTTCTGTCTCACGCTGCTTCGCTCGCGGTGATTACTGACTGCGGTGGCAGGGTAGGTTAGGGTGCCCTTGTTGAGGGAACACGGTAAGCTTCCTCCACTCCTCCTGAGCTCCAGGAGCTGTTCTCTGGCTTGACTCAAAGCCTCCGTCAGTTCAAAGCGTTCTTCACACTCTCTGCGCACTGTTTCCTGGAGAAAAGTGTTCTGAAAAGAAACAAGAAAAAGCACCCCTGGCTTTAAACAGTTTATGTAAGTGGAGACTGACAACTTAAATCAGAACTGAGCTGAAGGTCGGAGGCTGTATTCTCTGTCTCCTTAATACTCCGCCACACGAGACAGAGAAGTGAAAAATGGTGTGTGAGGGTGGACAGAATGCTAACAGAACGTTTAGTTCAACCCTTGCCATTTGTAAGTGAAGTGGAATGACCTGCTCAGGGTTCCGTAGATGATGTGGTCGGATTGGGGCAAAAATCAGGGCCTGCTAATGCTTACATCAGCGGGATTCCGACTTTCTTGCCTCATGTCTCAGACAGTGTGTTCTGATACCCACTAAATAATATCTGTAAAGTCATCACATGTTATTTTATAATGAAGGTATAGGCCAGTGCATGAAGCAAACCGGTATAAGATTAAAAAGAATATAATACAGCAGCCACAGCATTTAAACAGTAATATTAGTTATTTATCAGATGCTTTAAATAGAACTTAAATATACAGATCATGTGTCATTCTACAGGATAATCTCCCCCAATAAAGAACGTGTTCTTCTTTTAATTCCAGCAGAAACCTCTCATCAAGGTACTCTAAGCTGTGATGGACAGCCTGTATTAGTCAGCATCACCTTACTGTGAAGACGGTCTGAGGCATTAACTTTAAGGAGAATGCCTTTCTTTTAGCTCATTGGTTCTGGAAGTAACAAGGTCAGACAGTCCCTTTGGGGTGAGTCCTGGAGAGGGTGGCACCCCACAGCAGCAGTGCATGGTGTAGCCAGTCAATAGGCAGAGCGGGAAGGCCTGCTGGATCTCCCCACCTGCTTCCATCACACCCTCCAGTGGTGCAAGGTCTTCCCACAAGGCCAACATCTCAAAGGCCCCAACACTTCCCACAGCACCACCTGGGGCAACCATTCAACACACGGGCTGGTGGGATCCACAATGTCCAAACAATGTAGTAGAGCCTCTTACTGAAGAAGTTAGCAGCCTCATTAGGTTGAACAGAACTGACTTCTATGTATCTCATGGAATCTGAACCCAAGAGTGGATGCTATGGATTTTAATAAGGATAGACTTTTTTGATAGAACAATCTGGAATCTCACACAGTAGGGATATATTGAAACAGACGTAAGCTTTAAATGCGATTGGATTAGATATCACTAAGGCTCTGTCAAAGTCTGAGAGTCTGCATTTTTCTTTAGCTGAGGAATTCTCCATTTTCACATATGGAGTTCATGACAATTCCCTCAAAAGCCATAGTAAACGTTAGGTTTTGGATCTTCCCAGTGTCCAGCTACTGCAAAATACCATCCTCAGGCACAATACGGCATCTTAATCAGAGCAACTGGGATGACCCACACTAGACCCTAACAAAGGAGAGCCTATCAACATTTTCTCATGGGAGGAGGGAGTAAGGGAGGGTCATTAAAATGCTCACCTGAGATCCCATCCACTCCCTCCTGTCTCGCTCTCACCCCATCAGCTGTAAATAATTCTGCTCCAGATGCCCATGGGCTCAGGAGGTGCTGGAGCATACAGGAGGTAGAAGATTAACTTTGAATGACTGACTTTTCATCGTGTGCGTGTGCGTGTGCGTGTGCGTGCGTGCGTGCGTGTGTGTGTGTGTGTGTGTGTGTGTGTGTGTATTCACTCCATGTATGAAGCTTTTGGGAAGTTGTCACCCACAATGGAGTAGAACTTTTTGAAGATGCAGCTGTTTCAGGGTTACCTATGCTCCTGCTAACAGCACCACACCCATGTTCCTGTACGTAAGCCCAATAGAACCCAGCAAGCTGGGTTTGAATGGAACTGTTCATTTGATCTGTCACTGGTGGCCTATCTAAGGTGAAGAGGTGTTTGTTCAGGTCTCTTCAAGAAAACGGTCGCAACTCCTGACATTGCAGACCAACAGGTCTGCAAATAGGGGGTGGGGAGAGGGCGGGGGGAGGCTTTGCTAGGGAGATGGTTCTGTCACTATGTGGTTGCCATGCAATCATAAGGACTTGAACTCAGTTCCCTAGCACCCATGGAAAAAGTCAGGGGTGGCAAAGCATTTCTTGAATTCTAGTGCTGAGAAAATGAAGACAGGAGGATTGCTAGGGGCTTCAGGGCCAGCTGGTCTCCCTGAACTGGTGACATCCAGGTTCAATGAGACCCGGTCTCAAAAAATAGGGTATGGAGTGATGAAGGAAGACATCCAACATCAACTTCTGGACCAGATGGCTCCATGCATGCACACACACACACACACACACACGCACACACACACACACGATGAAAAGTCAGTCATTCAAAGTGGTGCCTTAAAAACAAACAGACTTGAAGCTATTGTGCTCTAGGAATTACCAGTCAAGTTAGCTTATAAAAATAGCCAAGGCATTTCCAAGTCTGACTCTTAGTGGAAAACATCCTCCCTAAGGGTTTACTGACTAACTTGCCATTAGTGGAATTAAGTAAGAAATCATCAGGCTAGGTTGCATCTTCCTATTTGAGTTTCTCGTGATTATGGGCAGAACTTAACTAATTTACAAATCTGGTAATTAAAATATAATATGGGCTGAGTATAGTGACGAACTCCTTTAATCTCAGCACTAGGGAGGCAGAGGCAGGCAGCCTTTGTGAGTTCGAGGACAGCCAGGACTACATAGAGAGACCCTGTCTCAAAAAACCAAAACCAACAACAACAAAAAGACTATGGAACAATTCCAGATTAACATAGTAATTTTTATTAAAGCCATTAGAATATCTGGGTCAAAGGTCTTCATTTATATTTATAGGACATACACACATGATCCCCATTCACATGTATTTTTTTAAAGCCATTGGTCAACTATTTGCTTCTGCTTGTTTTTCGTTTTTAGAGGAATTGGAAACTACTGACATGTGTGGCTTTGTCATCTGGCTCTCATCAACTCTACCTGTGTACTGGTTGGAAGTCGGGTTTGGGAAAGTATCAAGCTGCTTTACAAGGAAGATTAATAAGGTGCTGTGTGAGGGCCATCACATTTACTACTCTTGATATATTTACCAAAAGAAGACACAGTAGTGAGGGTTGGTTATATAACTTGATGAGAGCCATGCAGCCCGGGAGTGGTAGAGCTCTGCCACCTCCTAGCCCTGTGCCTGTGTGAGGAGTCTCCTTCCTTATGGCAAGCATATACGTGCCGTTTCATGTCTAGGACATCAAGGTGCTGAAAACTTGGTAAGACATTTTTACAAGAATTCTAAACTCTATTAATCTAACCTTTCTTTTAAAAAGAAAGAGCTCACTACATTATCTATTTATAATATTTATCTATATATACAGTAATATCTAGCTATACACATTACTTATCTATGTATACAGTAAGCTAGCAAAATGTGTAGAAGTAATCAAATTTAAATGGTTTTCAATTAAGTATGAAATACCCCTGCTTCAGAAAACTTTGAGAAGGAGTCAGTTTTCTTGAAACATAAGAAACTATGGATAGCCACGATCCCTGACTTCAAACTCTACTATAGAGCTACAGTAATAAAACCAGCTTGGTACTGGCATAAAAACCGACATGTGGACCAATGCAACCGAACTGAAGACCCTGACATTAATCCGCACACCTATGAACATATGATTTTTGACAAAGAAGCCAAAACTGTACAGTGGAAAAAAGAAAGAATCTTCAAGAAATGGTGCTGGCATAACTGGATGTCAACATGTAGAAGACTGCAAATAGATCCATATCTGTCACCATGCACAAAACTTAAGTCCCACTGGATCAAAGACCTCAACATAGATCCAGTTACTCTGAACCTGATAGAAGAGAAAAATAGGAAGCAGTCTTGAACATATTGGCACCAGAGATCACTTCCTAAATATATACCAGTAGCACAGACACTGAGAGAAACAATTAATAAATGGGACCTTTTGAAACTGAGAAGCTTTTGTAGGGCAAAGGACATGGTCAATAAGACAAAACGACAGCCTACAGAATGGGAAAAGATCTTCACCAACCCCACATCTGACAGAGGGCTGATATCTAGAATTTATAAAGAACTCAAGAAATTAGACATCAAAATACCTAACAGTCCAATTAAAAAATGGACTGTAGAGCTAAACAGAGAATTCTCAAATGGCTGAAAGACATTTAAGGAACTGCTCAACATCCCTAATCATCAGGGAAATGCAAATCAAAATGACTCTGAGATACCATCTTACACCCGTCAGAATAGCTAAGATCAAAAACACTGAAGACCATCTTATACCCGTCAGAATAGCTAAGATCAAAAACACTGAAGACAGCTTATGCTGGAGAGGATGTGGAGCTAGGGGAACTCTCCTCCACTGCTGGTGGGAATGCAAGCTTGTACAACCACTTTGGAAATCAATATGGTGCTTTCTTAGAAAATTGGGAATCAACCTCCCTCAAGACCCAGCTATTTCACTCTTGGGCATATACCCAAGGAATGCTCAATCATACCACAAGGGCACATGCTCAATAGCCAGAACCTGGAAACAACCTAGATGCCCTTCAACTGAAGAATGGATAAACAAAATGTGGTACATATACACAATGGAGTACTACTCAGCAGAGAAAAACAATGACATCATGAGGTTTGCAGGCAAATGGATGGAACTAGAAAAAAATCATCCTGAGTGATGTCACTCAGACTCAGAAAGACAAACATGGTATGTACTCACTCATAAGTGGATACTAGAAGTAAAGCAAAAAATAACCAGACTGCAACTCACAACTCCAGGGAGGCTACCCAGTAAAGAGGAACCTAAGAAAGACACAGGGATCACCCAGTGACAGAGAAATAGATGATGAGACCTACATGAGCAAACTGGGGGTGGGGGTGGGGTGGGGCGGTTAATGGAGGGCAAGGGTCAGGGGAAAGAGAGTTTAGGGGAGAGAGGTCCCAGCTAGATCAGGAGAATAGAGAGGGAGGTACCATGATGAATGAAGACTCCTGGGGAATAGGAAGAAGCAGAGTGCTAGAGGGGTCTCCAGAAA